GGAAAGGTATTTCCTATTTTTGCATGGATGGTGTCTCTTAACATTACTCTTACAGTCCCTTTAAGCGTGGCCCCTCTTAATGTGTAAATAATTTATTTCTGGTATTATTATTTTGTTGGTATTCACAAAGTATAACTGAATGTGTTTTGCTTGCTAGGATATTGGTTGGATGACTAACCATTAAACAAGGAAAACGTATATTTTGTGTAAATGCTTAACAATCAGTTCTGTCAAAATCAGTTAAATAGTGTAGACTCAGGAGATGTGTATATAGATGGCTATTTGGTTGGTTTGGTTTTTGGAAGACTTATCGGTTGTTGGGACGGATTGAAAAGATTATAGTTTGGTTGGTTAATTGGTGGGTCAGGTAAATGCTCTGTTAGTTAGTTGGTTGATAGATTATTTGGTTGAATGGCTGGTTTGATTTTTGGTTGGATGGTTGGATGGTTGTTGGTTTTTTGGTTCGTTGGTTAGGACTTATTCGGTTCCTTTAGTGGTTGGTGGGTAAGTTTTTAGGTTGGTTAGAATAATCTATTAATTTTTTGATTGAATTAGGATATACTTTTATTTTATTCATCGAGTGATTCATTGATTGATTGATTAATTTCAGATTTGACCTTGAGTCTCCTGAAAGTGAGAAGTTAACGGATAGTGTAAGTGAGAAGGAGGAGAAGGAGATTGATGAAGTAGAAGCTGAGTCAAAGGTAAATATCCACAGAAGAAAGAGAGATTAGAATAGAAGGTAAATTATACGATCCCTCGGTATGAGCTTTGTCAGGTTCTTTAAGCGTTAAAAAGAGTTCAAAATATACAATTCATGTAAATGGTCACAAATTATACACCGTACACCATACTAATACAGTATGATCCCTGGACATATCTGTTACAATTTCTTTGTTTTATAAAGTTGTTAAATAACTTTTAACATGTGTGTATTAGCTATAGTTGAATTAAAATCATCATTTTATTAAACATTAAAACCTAAGAGAATCGATTTAGGGAAAATTAAAATAATTTAAAGAAACTTTTTATAAAAAAATGTTCCAGGACCCAGAAGGTTATACAGTACACATGTTTGAGGTACACCTGCAGTATTGAAACAGTGCAACAAAATGGCGGTTTTTACACTTTTTTCGACTTAATTCTACTCTATACTTATCTTTTCTTTTTGTAAATATTGGAAACAAAAACGACATATCGCCAAAAATCTCCAAATGAGGCATGAGAATTTACGTAAAGCTTAAACAATGCATGGCAAAAATTATGTATGTCAATTACGACTCATGGCAAAATTTTAATTTGGGAAAATTTACTTATGGCAAATTAAAATAATGACACATGGGAAAAGTTTATAATGGCAAAATTACTAATGACAAAAACTACATTAAGTAAAAGTTATGTATATCAAAAACGACATTTGTCGAAATTTGCGTATGGTATACAACGACGCAAGGCAAAAACTAAGCATAGGAAAATATAAGGCAGAAGAGCTAAATTGATGAAGACCAAAAATGACGTGTATGGTGAAACTGGCAACTCATTATGACAGGGGTCGATATTAAACTTATTTTTTGTTCATTGATACTAAAAAATGTTTGATGGCAAAAAATGTTGAAGCTACCTAGTTCAAAAATTACTTCTTTCCCTCGCCAATAGTTACTAATCGACTTTAGAAGTTTTTTGTAAGTATCCTAATTTAAAAATCGGGATTTTTAAAGTAAAGGTGATAAAATCATTTTGTATTACTTGTTACACCAACTATACCAGTGCTGTTTAACTAAGATAATGAGGACTTTAATTAGATCTAATTTATTCTGCACTCACACTAACATAAACATATCAATAAATACATTTATACTATGTTAATAAACTTTTTCTATGATACAATTTTTAATTTTAGTTTTTATTTTGCAATTTTGCCACTTCTGTTTCTAATTAGGAAAGTTGATAATTATAATTTTTCATGAAAAAAAGATAATTTGAAGTGATTGAAACAGCTCTAATATAATATTTCAGGTCGATATCATGCAATTTCATAAACTGTAAGCAGCAAAAATTAACAGGGGTGTATTTTTTTGGAATAAAAAAAATTGAAAAATTGAAAAATTTAAAATGGCATAAAAAGAAACCTTTTTTCATTCTTTTGATACTTCTCAACCAAAAATGATTCATAAGATTATGTTAACCTGAAAATAAGTCTATATTGACGCATATTTAATATCGAAATTGGAGTGAAAAAATTAAATAAAAGCGTTTTTTCAGTTATGTATTTCTATTAAATGTTTCTGTTAAGAGTAAGAAGTATTTAATATGAGCTACGAACCTGTTCCTCCGTAATTAAATTCCAGTCCTTCGAGCAAATATGTGAACTCCAGCAGCCTGGAAACTAGAAAATTATTATCATTTATAATTACTAGGTCTTTCTTTTGCTTCGTGGACATCTTAGCATTTTTTTCTTAACCTTGAACATTTTTAAGTCCTACAAAAATGAATGAATTTGCAGAATTTTCTGTTTTTAATGGTGGATTTCAAAGGTCGAAATTTCTGGTACCGTCCGTAAACCTTTCCTGGGGTCTTTTACAATCCCATTTTATGCTTAAACGTTTTTTTTAAATGACATTGTTTTTTTACGTCAAACGAAAGTAAATTCCACTTAAAATGGAAATCTTATATGTTTAAAAAGTGATTAAATTTATCAGGTTGCAAAGATAAAGGGATTTGAAAATTTGAGTTTGTTGCAAAGATTTAGTCCTTTATTTTTCATACTTTTTTCATACGTTGCATAATTTGACCTCCACCTTCTGCCTAGTGTTCAGAGAGTCTCACTAGATTTTTCTCTACTTTTTCCTCAAGATTTTAGTTTAAGTTTATTTTCTGTAAAACCCATCCATCTTCGAATCTAAGATATATAGGTTGCAGTACTCTCAACTTATTGCAAATATATAAGCTATATTGATATATCAGCCTTCAAGCAGAATTAAAGGGACTGTAAGCGTGATTTCACATGACCCTCCATGCAAAGATGACAAAGCCCGATTTAAAACGGTACACTTGACATATTTATCTGATCAATGATATGGAAGATATTCTAGTTTTTTTAGGTTTAAACGTATTTAAATCCGATAGTTCCTATAGTTTTCTGTCTGCAGAAATGCGCAAGTCACTTTTGTAGCGAAACCACATATGATAATAATAATTTTTTAATTATAAACATTAATATCAGATTCATTCTTAATCAGACCCATGCTTTTAATGGCACCAGAAATCTGACATTTTCAACTTTACTTTAAATTACGCTTACAGTCCCTTTAAAGAAATTATTCAGGAAGCGGAAATCTCAGCCATTTACGCAGTGCCAGTGAAAAGACGACAGAAAAAAGAAGAGCTTCCTCCCGGTTGGGAAAAGCACGAGGTAAATGTGTTCACTGTTCACAAATGCCGCAATTTTTTGCTTTATCATGCAAAAAAATGGCGCTCGACTTAAAAATTAACTGTATTGTCTTAATTTTTTGGGTTGGAAGTTATCACATGTTTCTAGGATTTTAATTTAACAAAGATTGTTATTATTCCCTGTAAAAGAGAAGAGTTTTTGTGTTTCTAATCTCGGTCATTTCTCTTCAGCTCTCATATTTCTTTGTTTATTTTAATTACTTCTTTTTGTCTCGTGTCCTTTAAAGATGTTTGACGACATTTCTTTTGTGTTTCTATCTTCAAGATTGAGGAGAAAATGTTAAATTCTGTGAATTTATTTTATTATTTAAGTTTTCCAACATTATCGAGAAATTAGTAGAGTAGAGTTCTTACAAGTTTACTTTTCCTCAGATTTTAGTTCCTCTTTCTCTCTCTTTTCTCCCCCCGGTTTTTACACTTTTTTCG